TATTAAATAAAAAAAAATAAACATTATCAGCTTACCTTTACTGTAGTAACAAATTAGTCAATTTTATTTGAAGGTTCCATTCAGTTCTTAGCCAAAGCAGAGGAACTAATTAATCCTAAATAGATAAAAAAAATAAATAAAAAAATTATTAAATAAAAATAAAAATAAAAATAAAAATAAAAAAAATCAAACATTGTCAGCTTACCTTTACCACAATGACAAATTAGTTAGTTCTATTTGAAGGTTTCATTCAGTTCTTAGCTAAAATGGAGAACCAATCGAATTTAAAATAAAAGAAAATAAAATATATTAATAAAAATATTAATAAAATATAAAAAATTAAATAAAATAAAATATTAAAAAATAAATTAGAAAAGAAAAAAATATCAATAGCTTACCTTCATTATGATAATAAACTGGATAGTTCTATTTTAAAGGTTCCATCTAATTCTTAGTCAAAGTAGAGGAACTGATCAATTCTAAAATAAAAAGAAATAAAAATAAAATATTAAAAAAAATAATTAGAAAAGAAAAAATATCAATGGCTTATTTTTGCCACAATAACAAACCAGTTAGTTCTATTTCAACAATTCTTAGCCAATTGATTGAACCTAAAAAAGGAAATAAATATCAAAATATTAAAAAAAAATATTAAATAAATAAAAAAAATCAAACAAATATTGATGGCTTACCTTTATCTACAGTAACGGACCAGTCAGTTCTATTTTGAAAATTTTGTCTAGTTCTTAACCAAAGCAGAGGAACTGATCGAATCTAAAAGTAAATAAAAATTAATAAAATATTAAATAAAAATTATCAATAATAATATTAAAAAAAGAAAAAAAATTATTAATAAACTTAAAAAAAAAAGAAATAAACATGTCAATAAATTCTTCTTTGGTGGCTAGTGGTCTTATTAGATTGTATTATTAAAATAATTTCAACTAAATTGAGTTTTATTAAAAAGAAAGCAATATTCTTTGATTGGTTTACACTCTTCTCCTATTAAGCCTTATTTGTATCTTAAAGATTATAATTATTATACTTTTGTGAAAATGCTAGAGTAATACTTGAAGCTCATATTCTTAATGCATTAACTTCTTTAATTAAACATTTAATATTGACTGCATTATCTATAAGAAAATACAATAGTTTTATATTTAATAATATAAATTCATAAAAAAAACATGATTTTTGCTCATTAATTTATTCAAATTTGTTTTTAACTAAAATTTTTATATGGGATTTGAAGCTCTTTTAAAAGAAAAGACAACACACTCTCAATTTGCATTCTCAAAGTCTATCTTTTTTATTTATATACGTATACTTTAATTTTTTTCTTACTTTCTTACGATATTATCACTTTTCTAATTTAACTTCATAATTTTCTCTATTGTAATAATTTTATTAAAAATATTTGCATCATAATTATTTTAATTGGTTATTAATTAAATATCTTTTGCTTATAGTTTATAATACAACAATAGAAAACAAATATTTATTGGATTTTTAGTTTTTATGTGATGATATGATTATAAAAAAAAATATTGAAATTATTGTAAATTATGAACATTGATATTTTCCTTTGGTAAATTTATAATTTATTTGATAATTCTGCTAATATATATTTTAATTCAATATAACAAATACTGCGCTTATAAATTAAATGAACTTAAAAATTAAAATTAAAATGAGAATTTTTAAGTTTAAATCTTTATTTTAATGCTATATTTGAGAAGAAATGTAGCTTACTTGTAATTCTCAATTGATAGCATCAAGTAAATGAATTCTAATTTTTAATAACTGCTTAATTAATTTTAATGTTTCTACTTCATCATAGTTTAAATGACTTCAGATTTGAACAAAATTTGATACTATAACTAATGAATTGTCATGGGTATTATTAAATCAAGTTCTTTATGCTATTTTCTATGAATTTAATTAAGGGTTCAGTAATCATAACTTTATAATAAAAATTTTAATTAGAAGGGTAACATATTCAAATTTACAAAAATTTTTAGGACTATTTGAATACTCAAAATTATCAGCTAATTCTTTAATAAATAAAAAACAATCATTTTTATACTTTCAGATTATTTCGTATTTTTATTTTATTTTATTTTATTTTTTGATAATTACATATTTCTTTAACTTGAATCATTATGGAAGTATTTGTTATGTTTTTTTTTTATTTAATTGGTAATTTTTTTAATTTTTTATTTTAGTTCGATTGCATCAAAAATTTTATATTTATTTATTATTTTATTTTTATAAGATTTTCTTTCAAGATGGATTACTTTAAAAGGAATGAATAAAATTATGAAATACGGTATGTGACAAAAAAAATTGAACTCAAAAATCTGCTTGCTAGATGTTCAATAATGCATTAATTTTATCATATTTTAATTTATTCAAACTTAAAACTAAAGCTTATTATTAATAAAAAAGTTAGATAAATTAATAATAAATTCTTTTCCTATTCTTTCAATTACAAACTGCCATCGTTTTTTCATTAATTGAACAAGATTAACTAAAAACTCTCTAGAATTCTACAATTATTAATTGTTTCAAATTATCAATATTTCATAGTAATAATTTCTATACATTGTGCTTGATAATACTCCATAGAATTTCAATAGAATTAAAGTCTGGTCTATTCAATGACCAAATAATAATTCTAGGAACACTTTCTGAAGAAATTCTTTTACAAGTCAGCTAAGTATGCTTTGTATTGTTATACTGCTGAAATTTCTACTTTCTTTCAAGCATTCTCTTGACTTCTAAGATATGCTGTTATAAAATTTTAATATAAAATTATACATTATTATTTGTATAAAGAAAACAAGCTTATTTTCCCTTTAATACAAAATCCATCTATGCTAAAATTTTTTGTTGATTTTAGGAAGAAGCTGAATTAATCTAGAATCTTTATACTAATATTAAATTGTGTTCCTAAATAATTAAAAATTTTTTTCCCACCTATGATTTAGATAATTTGAGTTCATTTAATATGTTTTGCCTTTTGAATAATTGGTAAACTATTTTTATAATGAATTATTTTGACAATTATTTAAGAATATGTAATTATTCATATGCAACTATTCTTGATCATCCATTTCCTTTTTAATGCAAATTAAGGCTGGCTGCTGGCCGACCATAATTAAAAATCTAGTTATATTATGTAATGCTAATAGCAAGTAATAATTTATATACGTACATGACTTTTTTTAACAAATTTTTTGATAGTGGATTAAATTTATTCTTTCAATAAAAAATAAGATAAATAAATTTGCTTTAATAATTATAATAGTCAGTTGATTATATAATTATTCAAGCAAAAAGTTCTACATCTTCACTAAAAATAAAAAAATGATTAAAATTATCAATATAGATATTGAAATGATCAAAAATTTACAAGATTTTTAATTAATATCTATTTATATATTTATTTTTTTATCATATTTATTTAATTAAATTTATTTTTTTAATTTATTTTTTTTTAATTTGCTATTTAAAAAAATTATGAAAAAAATCATGTATAACTGAAAAAAATTAATTATTAAAATAAAATATAATAATTAAAAAAAAATTAACTGAAATGAAAAATTAAATTAGAAAAATTAATTTAATTAATAAAAACTAAACTTCTTTTTTTATCATTATAATAAAATGTTTTCAAAAATTTTGGTTTTATATTTTTATTTATAATAAATGAAATTTTAAAGTTTAATTAAATTGATTATACAATCACTCACTTAATACTAAATAGGAGATTCCTGCAATTGCAAACTCTAGTTATATGCATTAAATTTTAATTCATTAATATTACTATAAACTCTTTAAATAAAAAGTTAACTTCAAAAAAATTAAATTCAGTGCATTTTACTGCTTGCTTATTAGTCATAATATTATTATATATTTATCATTAATCTAAAATGCAATATATATAAATATAAAATATTAATAAATATATAAATATTTTTACTTATTAAATTTTTTGTATATAATTTTTTATTTCTTGAGTATTTTAATAAAAATTTACATTACTTCAAGAATTCTCTAACATGTAAATTTTATTAATTTAAATATATACAATTAAGTATTGAGTTTATTAATATTATTAAAAGATAAATGTATTTTAGCAATCATATTTTTCCTAAATATACTTTTAAGTAAATTGCCTAGTTAAAATATTTTGAGTAATTAATAATCTAAAAAAAATTAAAGTAAAAAAATAAGTTAAACTAATCTGATTTTAACTATTATGCAATTATATCAATAAATTAATCCTTAGTATTTTTAATAAGTTTTTTTAATTTTGATTAATACAGAAAGAAGTTTTAGATAATAATTCTAATGGATATATATGAATACCTTTACATATTAGGATTATAAATAGATATCTTTATAAATTTAATAGTGTAAACATTTTGAATTTAAATAAATAAGTAATATATCATAATTCTAATCATTAAGTTAGACCTTAAAAAGATGAGTAGTATCTTAATAATAAAGAATTAATATTTTTGATTTAAAAAATTAAGTATTCATTTTATTAATAAAATTAATTAATAAAATTAATTTATCATAATATTTTTTGTAACTGCTTAAAAAATATAATGTATTGCAATTTATATCATCCTATTAAATAATAATAATATTATAATATTATATATAATTAATATAAATATAATAATAATATATTAATAATACATATTTCTTAATTTAAAATTTTTTTTTATTTGCAAAAAGCAATTTTAAAAGGTTAATATTTACATCAGCTTTAATTTGCAAAAACATATAACCTTTTTTATTCAATTTTTATTTATTATATCCTAAAAATTCACTTTATTGATTTGTAATCTAAATAATATTTAATTTTTGATTTATCATTATAAGTATATATATGTATTATTTGAATAAGAACACTAAGTATTTATAATAAAAGTTATAATTTAAAATAATAAATTCAGAAAATAAACAAAAAACTAAACTATAACTTACATTTGTGTAAGTTCTCTTGTAAGTATATTAGATGAAATAGTATTAAAATTATTTTTACAAATAAATGGATCAGTTTTAAGATCTATATCAGAATGTGATGCTTCTAAGATATCTAAACCAGCTAGCTTACAAGCTTTAATACCACCACAATATTTTATTGTTTTTATAATCTGAACCTATTATTTATTTTCTGGATCATCTAGATTTTTGCCAAAAAATGAGCATTTAACATTAGAAAAATCACCATTTGTTTACAGAGTAAATGTTGTAATCTGTTTTTAATAAATATTAATTCTTAATTAATTTCCTTTATAAATAGTTTAGTTAATTTAAAACTTACATTATGAAATACTGCTTTAGGATTTGTCCAATTTTTTACATGATACATATATGTAATTACTTTATCTGAAGTTGCTGGATATTCAATTAGAACTAAAAAGTATCTAACATCTTTGATTAAAGTGTTTTCAATAAATACAGCTATTTCAGATTCTTCGTTATCTTGTTTTATTTTCCAGTATCCATTGCCTAAATAGGAAAATTTTCATTTTTAAGTTCTTATAAAAAAATCTTACAAATTTTGGCTAATAAATTTATTTAACTGCACATTTTTTTACTTTTTATTTACAAAAGGATCATATTCTAACGGTTCATCAAATTCTTTTAAATTAATAATATATTTAAATAATGTAGACATAGTTATATAAAAATAATAATAATGAAAAAAATTAATAAAAAGAAAATGAAAAAAAAGTTTTCTGATCAAAAAACTCATTATATATGAAAATATTTTGATGATGAATTATTGTGAATGCAGGTATAATCAAAAAGTCTCAAACATACCCAAAAATATAAAGTTAATGATCGCTGTTAATTATTCGCTATATTAGTATATTAATAATTTATCATACCTTATCTTTATTAATTATCATAATTTAATTTATTACGTTATATATTACTTTTACAATGAATTAAATATAAACTATTCGAAAATTCCAAGCTTTGATCATTTTGTCCTAACTTCTTAGTCTGGCATCCATTCTATTCTGAAATCTTGGGTTCCATTTTTAAATCTAACTAACAAAATAGTCTTTTTAATGCTTTCTGCTAGTTTATCTGAATTGGTATCAATGATTTTATAATTTGTCCAGCTCTTTACAATTTGATATAGAGGATATATTTCTGCATTACTAATTGATATTACTACCATAATTATACTAAAATAAAAAATATTAGAAGCTAAAATAAATAATCCTCCATTCAAGTCAGCATTATTATAATGCTCTATATATTTTATTATCTGATTACAATCCAAATCTATATTTTATGATGCACTTTTCTATAATATGTTGTTAAAATATTTGAAAGCTCATCCTCTCAAAATTTTCATATTGGAATTACATGATCATAATAATTTATTTGGTAATATGAATTCAAAACATCCTTTATAAGCTCAGGAGATAGTTTTCAACTTTCATAAAGATTATATTCTTTAGAAATCTCCTTCCTAAAATTTCTTTTACATCTACGAGTATATAAGCCATTCTTTTACTTAATTTCTTTATCCTCGATTGTGTTTGGTAATAAGACTCTCTTCTATAAGGTTCTTTTCAGTTTCATATTCTCCACTTTTATTTAAATGTTTAGAATGTCATTGCGCTTTAGTGATTGATGAAAAGAAAAATTTATTATTCACGTTAACCAAATATTATTATTCAGAATGCTTTTCAATCCTAGAAACTAGAAATCTATGCCAAAATATAAGTACATCGTACCTGAATTATATAGCTTACTGCTTTATTAAAATAAAAAAAATTGTGTTACTGAAAGGTTATCTATATATAAATAAACTTAAATGATATTAATAAGAACATTTTTTTAAAAAATAAAAATAAATGCGGAGAGAACTGCCTAAAGCCATTAATACCCAAAAGCTAATATTATCTAAATTAAAAGCTACATGTAATAATCACTACTTCAAATACCTCTTATCCTCTCAGATAATGTTTAATTATATATCATTTCTAAATCTATTCTATATGTCATAATTCATCTCTTTCTTTTTATTTTGATACCTTTTATTTTGCGAAACACTAATTCTTTCAACCATTGTAGGATGGTGATAAGCTCTTGCTGCAATAGAATTTCTAATATTTGGTAATATATAATTGTGAAATATACTAATTGATAAGTATTTTTTAATTCCTCTTATAAATATGTAACTAATCTGTGAAATTGCCCAAATATATAGTTCTAAAGGTTTTCTGATTAAGATCTTAGGCCAATAAAATGTTTTTTTGTAATAGTTTTACGGAATAAAGTTGTAGGTAAAATTTTAATCATTTTGATAAAAGTTGAATCTTTTTAAAAATAGTTTGAACGGTTTCAATGTGCTGTTTTGACAGCTTCAACAATTTCAAAAGATTTGATTCACGATTTTTAATTAACTAAATTTACAAGATTTAACGCATTTTAACAGTTTGTTTGTGATTATTTTCTGACCTAGATCAGAGATTCGAAAAAAAGGATATATAAAAATGTGAACAAGGGAATGCTATTTTGAGGGGTGATTAAAAATCTCATTTGCATATCAAAAGTTTTGATAGGTTTAGTCAGTGATGTACATTTTTGATGTCCCAGAGATTTGTTGTCCCAGCTATATGTCCCAGCTATATGTCCCAGCTATATGTCCCAACCTGTCCCACACTAAGTCCCAAATGTCCCATCTGTCCCATCTATGTCCCATCAGTGTCCCATCAGTGTTCCATCAATGTCCCATGACAACACTGGGTTTAGTCACTCGTCGAAACTTTCGTGACTTTATCTTTAAAAGTAATTTGGTAAAACATCAAAATTAGTTTCAATTTTAACACTTATCGAAACCTCAGAGCTTTCTTTATATCCTGTTAATAAAGAGTATTTCATAATTAGATCATAGTAATTCCAATATTTGCTGCTAATAAAGCTTCCTCCTTTGATATGGAAATGTATCCATCACCTTGAGAAGTAAAACACTAAATGAAAATACTTCCACCTATAAAATGATCATCACAAACATTACTTTGATTTTCTTGGAGTTGTAATGCTATGTAGTATTATCATGAGACATTGATGGAATACTGATGAGACGCTAATGGGACATAATAGAATAGATAGGACATTTAGGACATAGTGTGAGACAGGTTGAGACATATAGCTAGGACAACAAATCTCTAGAATATCAAAAATATACATCACTGACGCTATGTATTTCCATCATTTTTTTCTTCTATCAGATATAAAGGTTTGATATCAAATGGCTTCTTTCGCTTCACCTTTGAACAGCCATTCATTTTAAGAATTCAATAAAAAGTATTTAAACTTACCTCTAAATTTATATATTCGTAATAACTTTTGGATTTTTTCAAAAGGTAGAAGACCCATACATTATATATCATACGAGAGTACATTCATTTTTCTGTTAATACATAGGTAGCCTATTAATCATTATTGTCAACACTTCTCTTTAGTCATAATTGCTTATTTATTATAACTTATTTCTTTCTTCGATAGTCATTTGCAATTTTTGTTTGTTGGTATAAGCAAAGACTTTTGCGATAAAGAAAGTCAAATATTTTTAAAATGAGGTTTATTTTTTACGAAAAATATTATAAAAATATTAAAGACTTGAAATACACTTGTTAAAAATATAATTAAGAATGACACATTAAAGTTAATCAGTTTATTTAAAATAGAACATGTGTTTGTAAAAACTTTTGAAGCTTATTTTTATTATTTTTTTTTTTTAAGAAAATTTGGTTAAAAGAACAAATTTTATAAAGGAAATACATTGCAAATCTTAATAAAAATAAAAATAAAAATTTAAAAAAAATTTTGATAACGTTTAATAAAGGAAAATTCCTTGTTAATCTTCAAAGAAAGAAATTAATCTGAAGAGTAAAAAATTGAGGAATGATTACGCATTCTGAGTCAGACTTCATGATACTCATCCTAATATGATAATGAGCCTTAATCACCACCAAGGTTGCCTATCGCTTCTTTCAGACAAGGGAGTAGTCGCGATACTGGCCTAAGGTACTAACCTGTTTACTTGCTCTTCTATACCCATTTTTCGCTAGATATTTCTCAATCAGTCCATAGGGTACTCTCATTATTTCAACCGTTTGCCATAAGCATCCTTATAACAATGGGAAGTTATCATAATACATGAAGCTAACCTTATATACCGCGATAATTTTAACTTCCAAAAAATTGTGGAATTGTGATCGACATAAGTAGCCAATAATAATTTAAAAATATGACATGTGATCATAATCATGTGACCTTATTAAGATCACGGGATGAATGAATAATAAAAAAAAATGTGAAATTGAGTACAGTAGCAGCTGAACCCGCAAAATGCCATTTTTTTGCATCATGCCACGCATTGTTACTACTATACCAATTCATCACTGATGTTAATTTACATAATTTAAACTAGATTGCATGAAATATGTGATTAATTAACTGTCGTATGTGTAATAATATAATAAAAAGAAAAAATTTTTTTTATTAAAAACAGAAATTATTGAAATAAAGTAAATATATGAGTTGCTAGCCAATTTTGTCATTTAACATTGAAGTGAACGTGATATTTCACTTCTAAAACTTTTAAAATTATACCCAATTCTTACGTTTGACGCTTATGATAGTTCGGATAATGATCATGTGATATGAAAGTTTTTTTATCGATGATGCAATATCTGATGTACGAAAAAAATTACAGTTGTTTCAAAATATACAGAACACAGAGACCCGGGTCTCTGATATTAATTCGCATGCTTCTGCTGATCCGTATCCTTATAATTAGAATCCTCTTTAAAAAAAAAAAAATTAAAAAACTTACCGTATTAAAATTTGACTGTAATTTTCAATTTTCTATCATTAAAGCGATAATACAATGGCTGCGCTAAATAAAATTATTTATATAAAACAATGAATTTTAATTTCTGCTAATATTAATGATTATGTATATTGTTTTTTAATTTGTTTTAATTATTTATGTTCACTAAGGCTCACTATTTCCAATTTTTTTTTTCAAATAAAAAAAGTACTAAAGTTTTTCGGTTACATAAGTTAATTAATACAATCAAAGTTAGGTTGATATGTTTATGTAACACAGAAGTTAGGAAATTTAAAAACGGAAAAAAAAAGCATGGATATGTAATCTACTTTTAGTTTACAAACAAACTAACTTTTCTGTGAATATCCACTTTTTTGGAGGATGGATCCAGTCGAAAGTTTAATAATTAAAACTGGTGTTAGTAGTAGCAGTAATGATAATAATATTTTGTGAAAACATCTTGACACAGCTAGAAGAAAATAATTACATTAAAGCTGTGGATACACACACCAAAAAATTTCTCGATGGAAAGGCCCCACTCATCTCGATAAATACTTGTTAACATCACACACAATAGAATCAATAGGCGAAATCAAATCTCGCGGTTCCTGTTTTACACCAACAAATCAAGGCAAGTTATAATGTACGCAATTCTCACATTGAAACATCAAAAACATTGTCAAGACATTACAGGATTCCTAATAGACTGTCATCATATTATGTTTATACAAGTGGTTAAAGATGAGAGTGAAGAAGGACCGTACAGAGTATTATACTCCAATCAATTTAACCTTAGCAGTCAAATAAATACAAAATATTTGCGAGCCCTACTTAGTACATTATATTGTCATCACCTCACGATAGGTATTTATTTTGCATATCTTGTTTGATTTCTACAAGTATGACTTATTTTAATTTTAACTTTCAGGATTGAATGTAAAAATGAATGATTTGATTGCATATACGTCTATCTCTAATGTATTTGGAGTTTGTGATGATGATGTTGCAGTTGTCAAAATTGTAACACGACCTGATATATTAATAAACGAAATAAATGTATTAACAAAGCTTCAGAGACAAGGAGTTATTGATAAGGCTTATTGCTTCGTCTAGTACAGCGATGCTATTAAGACCACGAAGAGTGAAAACGTTCAAGAAATGCCATAAACCTGTATCCTTTTTAGCGGATATTGTCGACAAACTTAAAGTAATTCATGAGAATTGGATAGTACATGGTGACGTTTGATTGACAATATTCTTGTGAATAATAACGGTAAACTTATTTTTATTGATTTCAGATGTAGCTCAGATGTAGGGAAGGTAAGCTATATCAACACTTGACAGGTGAGAATTAGACACTATTATTTATTAGCTTATAAATTTCAGGAATGGTACAGAAATGGACCAAGAATGCCACTTTTATCTTTAAGCTGATACGATTAACAACCACCAGTACTTTTGACGGAAGATGGAAACCACAAATCTTTACAGATTATCGAGATGATTTATTCACTTTTATACAGTCAATTTACATTCATTTAAATAAGGATTATGCATTACAAGCATTACAAGCATTTGGAAACAATATCGAAAACCCAAATCAAGTTATCTTGTTCTGGGATAAAGTATTTGTAGATGAGTGGAGAATTGCACGTGATTACTACGATAACCTGAATTATGATGGTTTAAGAAATTTTATAGCTAATCTCTAATTGTCATATGAGTTTCTAGACTATATTTTTAGCATTACAAATAGATAAAGGAAAACAAATAGCTATTACTATCACAAATTTTTTTAGTCTCACCTTTATAATTATTGTCCATTTGATTTATTTTTACGCTATTGCTATAAACCTGAATGTAAATTATATAAATTTCTTTTTTTCATAAAAACTTCCCAATAATTATCATAGGAAAGAAAACACGATAACAAAAAGGAATACTAATCTATATTGCGAATTCTTTGCATGTCAATTGCACATATCTTTGCCATATTACTGCGCCCGGACACGTTTTGAGTAGTTATGCATAAATAAATTCACATAGTGAACTTTGTCTTTTTACTATATGCAATACGGTATAAATTAATCTATAACGCATGTGAATAAAAATTCCTCTCACATAGTCTATTAACCTATACTAATTGCCTGATAAATTTTTCTTTGTTCAAATAAATATGGGGAAAAAAGACAATCACAAATCTATGTAATATTTTTTCTGATTATTTCTCGTGATGTTGAGTATCCACTTCAATGGATCCAATTTTCTAATTTATTAACTTCATCTGCAATTAGTTCTTCTAATGTTTTACTAATTTCTTCTTCGGTCATAGTTCGCTCTTCTTTGGATAAAGTATAGTAAAGGCTGTATAAAATTTCAATACTAGCAAGGAGTTCTTTCTTACCTTGATACCATTTTCGATATCTGCTCATTCTTCTTTCATCGGCATCTTATTTAGAAATAGCATTATAGTGATTGATTTTACATACTCATAAGGATTTTCCTCTTAATGCAAAATTTTTACATAACTAGCATATTCAGTAACTAGCTTGCTATCTTTTTTATAGCGAATGCGTAAAGCCTCTCTTATTATCTTAAGTTGTGCCTCCTCAATACTTTTTCATGTAATATTACTCGCTAGAGTATTTTCTGTCTTTACTGTATAATAAAATGGTTAGTTTAAATTGTGAAAAAAAAAAAATTCTAGAAAAAAAATTATTATAATATTAGATGAATAATCGATCTCATCTTTTATAAACCCAAATCTGCCAATATTTTTTGAGGAATTTACATCGCAAGAAGTTTGCAGTTCGTGTCTCATCCTCTGTACTTTCTAGAATACAGCGCTCATAAATATCAATAGTTAGCTCTTTTTTGACGAGAGATTTTTGAGACCCTTTGCCTTTTGAACATTTTTATACTCATCTTCAGTTTCCAATGTATAAGACTTTGATCGATTTTCAGCATATCTTAATGCTTGAGTTCCTATAAACTCATCTTTCCATTTCCCGATAACTTTCTTATATTTAGCTCACGTGTTCCATCAGGAAGAATTATCCATTGATCTGACGGAAGTTTTTCTAATAGTGGATGATTTTTGGGATAATCGCTAAAATCATAGAGGTATGCATTCTCGATCATGTCAGCATAGACGTCTTCGGTCTCAATTTTGATAATTAGTAAATCTGTACCAGTATAACATAATTTTGCACGATCCCATACTTATGCTTGATATGGTTATACCAGAAATCATACATATCATTCATCTGCCTTCGATGTACTACTATAAGATTGCTTCCATGAAATATCTTACGACCAATCTGCCAACATTTTGCGCAGTCGATGTTCTTCTCCTATTGGTTGTACTAAATTAATCTGTGTGTGATGCTAGACATCCTCCATAGTTTTTCCAATACAGCATTGTTTGTTAATTTTCATAAATCTTTTTCGAAGTCATTTTTTGCATCACAATGACATATAGTATTTGCTGTAATATATAGTTCGAGCCAGGGAGATTGATCAAACTCTAATACACAATATACATGCTCGAGTTCCATTTCTAGTTTAAGGCATTGCTAGAGATGTCAGTAATGGATAATATACCAGTCTTTAGTCTCCAACGTTGCCACCAACTTTTCTGTCTCTGCAAATTTTCCTCTACTCAATTTATCAATTAAGTCATTATTTTGATGCGGGAAGAGCTCTGAATTTGACCTGACAGATCGGGTGATCTGACGGGTCAACTCAAAAAGTTCGGATCAGATCAGGTGTGGTATCCAACCTGACCCTACCCGAATATTTTAATGGCCTGTACTGTATGAAAGTGTTTTAGCCAATCATAACTCATTGTACACTTTTTAATTTTTTATATTTAAATATGATTGGTTTTATCATTTTCATACAGTACAGTTTATATGTATACCCTTTTTCAATGTAACCACGAAACTGACCTGTGACCTGACCTGACCCGACCCGTTCAGAGCTCTACGTTCAAAACAGAGTGGATTATCAGTATGTGATGGATGAAGATTGTCTGAATATTTTAACTTTACTTCCCAAGCACTGCCTCATTTAGCAGTCAGTGAAATAGACTGAATATCGGGCAAATTGTTTATGTCAAGCCATCGGAATCCTCCTGTTGACAAATATTGTGATATGGCCCATCCGTATAAATTTATTTGCTTAAATATAGAAGCCATTTGTTTGCCTTCCATTTATTATAACCTTTCATTCCCGGAAAGTTGGCTTCTGCTATGCGACGTAGTATCATATAGAATTTCCATCCCACATTCAGCGTTGGACGAACTCATCTTGTCCTTTATGAAATAATTCGAGCTTGAACTTAGTCATCATTTTTGCCATGTAAAATGCGAATGATGACAATGTTATATAATTAAAAGGGTCTAGTCCGGATACTTTCATTCATTGTCGTATTAAATCGCTGGATTAAATCCGCTAATATTAAAACATCAGTTCTTAGATATAAATCATGATAGTTTCTGAATGTTTTACATTTTGCTTTCTCACATACTTTCTGCGCATGGACATATTGCTTTTGACTAATGGTGAAAAAATTTTTCGTGTTCACAATATCAATTTCTTTAAAAACATCTTCTTTACATTTTCCATCGCATTTTTTACCCTTTATTTCGTGTTTACATTTTTTACAGCCATCTTCACAATAATTTAGTCCACCTATGGCAATACTTTGGTTGTTGACAAGAATTCCTAGAAAAAAAAAAAATATCCAACTTTAATTCATTGATAATTGACAACAAACTTGAAAGTCTGGATAAAAATATTTGTCTAATACAAAAACCGGATATACCAAATCTGGTTGGAATCGATAAAAGAAATCAGGTTGAAATGGATGCCATAAATCTGGTTTCAAATGTTTTGTCAATTTTGAGTTTCGATCCTTAGATTTAAATCTAATGAAATAGGTTCATTTGTTATTTTTTATTTGTAAATCAAATGCCCAATGATTTAGAATTAATAGTGAAAATTTGTGAATTATATCGATTTATCATGTAAATTTTTATAAAATTGTAAAAGGTGGAATTTACTGTTATGACAACCTTTTCATTTCAATTCTACAAGTAATTGGCGAAATCTCCCAACAAACTAAAAATAAAAAGCAGTAAATAAGTTTTATTAGTTATTGGAAATTTTGAAAACGAATTTTTTAATGTAAATGGGTATTCGAATCTCAGTTTAATTTGAATCTCCTATCAATAAACGCAGCCAAATCTTAATTCTGATTTAAACTATACAAATATATGGTAACCGAAACGAAATCAAGTACATGAATTGATATTAATACTAAAGTAAAAACGTGTACGATATTAATAATTACTACCAACACGAACAATATTAAAATTTGTCGAAAGTTGTATTTCAATTATCAGATTCTTTTTAACTCCAATAAATTTTTAAATATCCATAATTTTAAGAAAAGAATTTTGAAAAGAACGACCGAATTTATGAGTGAAGTAGTTATATTAAAGTTGTTGAATTGGTAAATTTCATGCATGATGAAAAAATTAAAATAAAAAAATATTGGACACTACGATAATTGAATACAGAAAGAATTATATAGTTTACATTCACGTTATTCTATTTCAGTATATTGATTTTTAAACAATATTTGCGTAAAAATAGACTTTTGATTCATTAAATTTACGTCAATTCTTCATGATTTATAAAGTTAATTTGTCACTTCAGGATACGCACGTCATGATAAGATAACTTTTTGAGTTAATCAATGTACGTGTGTATTATGATCGTATAACAAATCGATGAATTCTGAACATCTGTCTGATAGAAGAAACAAAGAAAAAAATTTTTTCCTTTTTTAATAAACCCTAAACTTAATGGCTTTATTCTCCTCCTAGAAGGCCTCCTAATCATCAGACACCTCCAATTCGAAGGAGAATTAAACTAAGTTCTTTTAATAAGAAGAATCAGGAGCCTTTGTGGGAGTTGCTATTATGTTTACCTTTTTCGTTCTCACAAATTGTAGGTTGTGGTCTATTTACGCGAGAATAATCAATTTTGTATATTGCTGAAATATAATGAATTTTGTGAGTCGAGGTTAAACTTTTTCTTTTAGTTAATAATTTATTAATATAGCTTTTTTTTAATAAGATACTTTTAAGTATTTTTTTTTTTTTTAAATTAATAATATTTAAATAATTTTTTTTGCCTTGCTTGCATAAAATAAAAGTTTTAAAATGCTTGTTATTTCGACTTGTTTTCAATATTTATAATTAACTAAAATATTAAATTCTAAGGCTTTACAATCATGACTCTGTTTAAGAAAACCTTTGAAGACAGGATGATTGATGACTGAAAAATCCTAAGAAAAATAATTGATCAAATATTTGGATTTTTCGGATAATTTGATGATTAATAAATGTTCGAAATTATTAAGGACTTCGGAACGGATAATGAGAATTTTAATTTTGTTTTGCAAATGTGATGTCAAGACTCTAAAACAAAATGGGTACTAACAATTATTAAGATGAAACATGATACGGGCTAGTAAACTTTTATATTAAAGGAGCACGCACAAACTAAGTTTTGCAATATTATCAAGGGTAAAGGCACTGACAAAAATATGACAAAGTACATGAGTTTACGCTTCAAAGGAAAAATAGATTTGGCTTTTTCTCGATTATTCTTGTCAAGTGATTAACATCCTGAAAACTTT